TTTTGTAATTTGAATTCGAACTGGCTCAGAAGCTACAAAACCAAGACCGAACTTGGGTGGAATGATCTTATGCCCTTGTTCTTTCAACTTCTTCTGTGTCTCATTGAGGCCATGCACTTTCTCACCGGTGACCTCAGAATTCAGTTTTCCAAGGCTTGCAGGATTTGTAAAATCAAACCCCGACTTAGCCAAGATTTGGTATGCTTTAGGATCGAATCCTTTATCAGTCCTTTGTTTTGGAAGTGATCCATGATTGACCAGAGATTGAGCCGCACGAACCCTTTTAATAGAGGCTTAGAAAGCGAAGACTTTTGAATCTTGGTGAGAGGAAGAGTTAACTCTCCTTGCAGCTTTTGCATATCTTCTTTTTCCTTGGTTTACGAAATTTTCACTTTAAATTCCTTGGTCTCAAGTATCTCGATGACAAGTGACTGCCCTTCTTATCGTTGAGATTTTGGAACATACTTTAAAATAGGTTTCGTCCGATGTGCTTTTATCGAGACCCCTCGTGTTTTAGCTACCTTTACAATGTCTATCACTGAAACATCTAATGAATCACTTAATGTTTCTTTTGCTTTTGTAGATTGAACCTATTGTGTAGACGGATGGCTTGGGATGAGCATTTCCGAAGGTGTATCGGGATAGATATAGAACTTGGCATCAACAAAATGAGACTCTGATATGGCAGGTTCTTTTCATCAATGTTTCAGTTGTAAAGCTGGATTGGTTTCATGTTAGACATTTAGTTTTTATTTGCTTTTCTTTTGTATGGCTTGGGTCATATTTGTTTTTTATTTTGAAGCTTAGGTTTGGTGGATGGTAGTGGATTAATTCCACTTTATGACATGTATTGGAGATTTTCTCCTCTTGTAACTGTATCTCTTCTGAATATTTATAAAATTCAAAAAAAAAGACCCATTCAGGAAAAAAAAAAGAAAAAATGAGACTCTGATTCTGTAAATGGTTTATGGTCTGCCACAACCGTTTGTACACCATTCTTGTAAAATTTGAAGCACTGGTGAAGAATCGATGGAATAACGCCATTACTATGTATCCAAGGCCTTCCTAACAATAAATTGTAGGATGTCTTTGCATCAATAACATGGAATAAGGTTTCAGCTTGGAGCTCGTCAATAGTTAGCTTCACCCAAATCATGCCAATAGCTTTCTGCCCTCTTTGGTTAAAACCTTGAATAATAAGATGGCTACGAGATAACTCGTCGACTGTGATGCCGAGATTTTTCATCATAAATTTTGGCATGAGATTCACCGCTTATCCACCATCAACAAGAATTCACGTAACCTTGTATTCTTTTATTTAACCGAAAACGAAAAGAGGACAATTATGCGGCTTCGAACCCAACTGAAAATCCTCGTCAATGAAAATAATCGGTGCATAACATGAATCAAGCATACCTCTGACTACTTCATCATCATCGGACTTTTCAATGATGGCTGCATCCTTTGCATGGTTCTCTATAATCTGGGCTTCATCTTGATCCTCGCTATTCTCATCATCAGGGCTCATTTTCTCACTTGAAACCATGTAAGCTATTGTAACTTCGTCATCTAGATATCCTTTTGGAAAGAACTCTTGCAAAGTAATGGGCTTTTGGATCCCTTTACTCATAGAGGCATGTTTGGATGACTGTATCTTCTTGACCCATTTTCTATTATGGTTATACTGCTATCTATTGTGGTATTAAAGTTTCTTCTTCCTGTCAGAATAACTAGTCTGAAAAATGTCAGATCGATCCTTCCATGGTTTCTTTCTTGTCACCAGAGTCTATCCTTTTTCATCATCCTGAGGAAATACTCTTCCAAATGATGAAACGTCAAGTATACTTCGATTGGTTCCAATGAGCCAAACTGGACAATTCTGTAATATACTTCCTAATTTGAAGGTTAAGAACGAGCACTCCCTACAACAGAGGTTGTCAAAGTAGCAGTAGTATGATTTGAAGTTACAACTTCATCTGTGTCCAACAAGATTTTTCCTTATTTTGCCAGATTCATCACCACCTCCTTGAAGATAAAACACTTCTCAATTAGATGACTAATAATACGATGATATTTGCAGTATTTTGGGTTGTTAACTCATCCCATCTCTTGAGGGCATTTGCATTCAGGGAGCTCTGTAATTTTACTTTTAAGTAAGCATTCCAATATGCCAAAAACATCAGAATCGGGGAATGGGTTTTCCTTCTTCTCTAATTCCTTTAGCGTAGGACGTTGTCTTTCCCCCTCTTGAAAATGGTGAGACTTTTTATCATCTTTCTTGTTATCTTTAACAGATATCTTGATTGGGGTAGTTGAGATAGTCATGAATTCTTTAGCAGTGTTCTTTAATGACTTGTCATTCTTCTTCCAGTCTTTCTTATCCTTGTGTGGTTCTATGGCCACTGGACCTTTGTCGTCATGACATTTTATATTGATCTCCATGTCATGGGTACGCGTAGCCAATTCTTCGAATGTGTGAGGTTTTATGCCTTAGGGAATGTAAAGACGACCCCAATGCATTCCCTGCATACACATCTCCACAGCACAGATTTCTGACAATCGGTCATTGCAGTCAAGACTTAGTGTTTGCCACCGATTAATGTAGTCAATTACAGGCTCATCCTTCCATTGCTTCGTGCTAATCAATTCTATCATACGAACAGTACGACGAGTACTATAGAACCTGTTAAAGAATTCTCGTTCCATTTGGTCCCAACTATTAATTGATTCTAACTCTAGGTCGGTGTACCACTTGAACGCATTTCCTTTAAGGGAACGGACAAACTGTTTAACTAGTAAGTCCCCGTCAGTTCCGGCATTGTTGCAAGTCTCGACAAAATGGGCAATGTGTTGCTTGGGGTTGCCTTTTTCGTCAAATTACTGAATTGTTGATTCTCTTTGTATAGGGCTTTGAGTAGATGAGAGTGCTATGTGAGACGCCTCTGTATTGGGCTCGGATTGTATTCATTATCATATCTTGCAATTGTTCGACGCATAATGAAGAGACTGAAGAAGCATGATTTGTTTAACCGCCTATTCTGTCACTGGCGTCTGTCTGGGGTCCTCCATGTGAGTACCTTGTGCCATAGAATTAGGATTCCCAGATGGTGGTGCTGTGGAAGATATAAGATTCCCAGATAGTGGTGGTGTGGAAGTTGTAAGATTCCCAGATGGCACTGCTGTGGAAGATGTAGGATTCCCAGACGGCACTGCTGTGGAAACTGTAGGATTCCCAGACTATACTGGTGATTCACCGAAGGTCTGAACTTCCAATTTGTTCATCAGTGTAGCGATCTGCAAGTCCTTTTCTTCAACAGTTTTTGTAAGGTTCTTAATGGAACGAGCCATAATTGCTAGTTATTTCTCTACCGTGGCGGCTCCAGTTATCATAGCAGCGACCACATCTGAGTATGATAGGCCTTGAGAGTCAACATTCCTTGAAGTGATTGATTGCTTCGAAGTCTAACATGGTGACTCTGGGGGTGAACTGACACTAGAGTGAGCATCATAGACGGAATGAGGTAAATCTGGTGGCGGAATCTCCTCCAGAACAACGTCAGCTTTGCAGGATTGGTTTTCACCAAGTCTTGTTGATGTTTGGATGACGCGATTGCCTGGGACTTGCTACGTGTCACAGGGCCCGCCAAAGTACTTCCATCACTTGATTTGGCCTTCGTGCCACTTGTCATGGTGGCTTTGGCATCGACCTTTGTAGTAGCAATGTTCTTTTGGGCTTTCTTGTCTGTCTGAGTCTTAGGGGAAGCCATAGAATCTGATAGAGAAAAAAATTAATGGTAGGAGAAAGAGATGAGAGGGAAAGGAGGTCCCACCGGGCATGCCAGAAATTTGTACACACAAATTTTGTAATTTGCAAATAAGAACAAAATAGGGAGCAAATATAATATTTTATTAATTTATAAAAATTTGAGTATAATCCTCTGTAATAATATTCTTTACAAAGAATAAGGTCCTCTGATTCAATCTCCTTTGTTGGTTGGATTCAAGGGCTGCACGAGCTTGATCTTGAATCACCGTGGAATTTGGATGAAGAACGGCACGATTTGACGTGCTTGTTGTTGATCACCATGGATTTTGATGAAGAACGGCACGATTTGATGTGCTTGGTGTTCTTCGTCTTTGGGTTTGAATGTTGGGAGCAGAGGTTCTATATTTCTCTCTGGAATTCTGGATTTCTGAATTCTGAATTTGTGTCCCTTCCTTCTTCCTCTAGGTTTCTATTTATAGGATTCTTAGATTAATAGGATCATAACACGTGTCATCTTCTGAAAATGATAAAATTATAAGTGGGACGGACCGGTTAAATTATGATAATTATCCTTAAATATAATTATTTCAAATATATTTTATTAGGAATAATTATCTTTTCATTTAATCATCTGGGCTGAGCTAATTAAATAATTTAAGTGAACTAAGCTTGGGCCAATTAAACAATTTAATTAAACATTCGATCCATATTTAATGCAATTTATCAAAACAAAAGTCTATTAAACATATATTATACATAAATAAACATATAAACAATATATATAGTAGGGTTGATTAAATAAAAATAAATAAATAAACTGAGATGTTTTCTCCAATTCCATAAGCATTTCAGGTAGCGTATACAATTTGCATAAATTTTTGCCAAAGCATAAGTCTTTCTTGTCCACTTAAAGCAACAAATCCTAAAATTCCATTCATTAGTTGATCATACAAAAACAAATAGAATCATACCAAAAGTACAGGAAACAAATTTCAGTTCTCACTTGAAACTTTTCCTTTTCCTCCTTTCCTTCGCAGTATTAACCAAGGTTTCATAAGTACACACAAAAACACGCGCACACACTTGAATATTCATTTTCCTGTACATTGTTTATCTTTATGAGCAGATTTTACACGAATAAGAAACTCAAAAGAGCTAATGGATCAATGGCAGAAGGCCAAGAAGGATCCAACACTTCAATATAATTTGATAATCCATTGTTTGTCATAGATAATCAACAAAAAGAACTTTAACAATTTATAACTTAAAATTCCTTAAGTTAATAACCAAATCATTAATTCTAATGGATCAAATAGGATACAAGAACCATAGGATATAGAATCATAGATAATCCATTGTTTGTCATAAAAGGATGAAAAAAAAAGCTTAAGAGAAAGAGTATCTATATATGAGAACCTTTCCTGAACTTAACAACATTCTTCACCCTCCTTGGGCAGCCATCACAGTGAACATTGACTACAATTTCAACAGTCTGCACGTGTCAGTGGACTTCCTATGAATAAGTTGTTTTTTAGCCACTTTTGAAGACCATCTTTTCTTTGTTTCCATGGCCATATCATTCAGCTCCAAGAGGTGAGATCTGCATTGAAGTTGTGACACAACTTGGCTGAGAGCTCGATAAAGGTTCAATATAATCTTATAGATTTCGCTCTTTTAGGAGTCCCCAGCCACCTAGTGGTGATACGTGTAAGACTAAATACAGACTATATCGTACATATAAAAAGGTTTGCATATATGTGTAGATATAAGGAGGCATTTTTTCAAACAATTGGTGTGCAATGGAAATTATAAATATGCTAGAGAAAAAACAAAGCGTCCACTATTTGGTTTCTGAGAAAATACGGGAAAGAAAATAAAAAACAGCAATTTGGGAAAACAAGCAACAATTGATCTGTTTTCATTTGATCAAACCAATAAAATTAACAATATTAATATCTTACACAACATGGAAACAAAAAAGTGCATGATTTTACACCACAATCAAACACATCATGGAAACAAAAATCACTTTATACGTCAAAACCAAACAAATTTTAAAAAGAAAAAAGAAAGAATAGTAGAGATATTTGTGTTTATATATGTAAATTTGATTTAGAACTTGATAAAGTTATCATTATCACCAATGTAGCCTAATAATTCAAGCCGATGTGAAATTAATTCCGACACAGTACAGAAAAATACACATTTTTCAGATCGAGGTTGATTTAATGATTTAAAGAAAATAAATAATGCTAGAGAAAAAACTAGTAAAAAAGTAAACAACTGACATTTAACACAAGCACAAAAAGTCTCAGCAATAAACAAGATTCAATTCATCATAATTTTGCAAATGTAAACAAGTTCTAAAACCATATTCAAACTCTTAGAAAGCTAGGGTTTCATACAATAATAACATCAATCTCTAATTAAAGATGAATTCTGACAAAAATGAAGCGAATATGATAGAATTTACCTGTAAGTGGACGAACATGAATATAATGTGATCGTTGGCAATTTTAGACCAATCAGACATCGATTTAGCTCTAAAATCAAATAGAAAAGACCGATTAACGAACTCAGCTTGGTTTGGTTTCGACCAAGATTTTACTACTCCGGCAGCGTTATATACATATCACCAATACATCGCAGCATCGGCTAACTCTGTGCCAGCAGCCGCAGTAATAGTCTTTTGTTGATTAGGCGACAAAAGGATCACCCTAAGATAATCATCTCATGGCTATTGAGAATGAATCAATTCTCTGTGAAATGTAAATCAAGCTGTTGAGTAGAGAGTTTTTCCTGCTCAGATCGTGTGAGAGAATGTCACTCTTAGGGCTCAGATTTGATTTCTCTCCTAAATGTAAATAAAGATTTAATTGAAATCTTATCAAGGGAGAGAAGAAACACTGCTCCTGAGAGAATCTCATTCCAAGGGTTTCAGTTTGATTTTGGTACCGAGGGAGTGAAATGAAAAGGTGAGAAGAGAACGAGTTTCACTTGCCAAAAAAAAAGTGAGTGAAATGAAAAGGTAAAAATAAAGAAAGAATGTGCACGGCAATCACATACTCACTGTAACGACCCGAACCCGAGAGCCCGAATCGCTAATCGGGTCATTACCCGAACCCGAGGTTAACTAAAGACGCTACCGTCCTTTCCTATGTCAATACATAATATACGTGTCATCCCAGGGTTTATACAAAAACAAATGAAATCACAAATATAAAAGATAATAAAACAGTCCACTAACCCATTCAAACCTATGGAGAAACGTCGTCCGCCACTTCATTTCCGTGACCTAAAAAATATTAAAATAATTGGGTGAGCATAAGCTCAGTAGGAGGTGTCTAAGACACACCTCTTATGACCCCGTGAATCCATGTAAAAAATAGGCAAAAAGTAGACGGAATCATATCATAGGAAATACACATCAACAACCACAACTACAAGCTTATAAATAATTGTCATTGTAACACAAATACACCAAATATGCAAATGAAGTGCAGTGTCATGCCAATGTCGCTCCCCATTTTTTAAAATAATTCCTTTTCACCATTCCAAACCGTTAATGCAACCCGACCGATAGCACCTCTATGGCGTCACAAGGGAAGGGTTGGGTAGCTTTCCCCGATCACATAGCATCTCCATGGCGTTGTCTGGGCCTAGATAGCTCAACCACACTAGATTTTCTCTCTATTTCCCTCTAGATTACATTAACACCACGGACCACTAGGCGCCTCCTAGGCATCCGATTTTCACAAACACTTTCCAAAAACGTTTTTCCAAAACAATTCCATTGCCTTTTTAAAACAATTTTTCCCCCCATTCCATGCCCAATGAAAATGCATAAATGCACCATGCCTCTTAAACATCATAATTCTTTATACATTTGAATTCTTGATCATAAACACAATTGGGAGAAAAATCATATAATACCTATATCATGCTTCTTACTATATCTCCGGCAACTCAAATACATAAGGCATGGAATATAATCAATTAAGGCATGTTTTCTCATAAAATGCAACTAATACATAATCACATATCACATATACAACAAATAAATCATTTTTACAATGATCCACATGAATTAAGCATACTATACAACAATTCATGAAGAATAATTCACAAAAATCTAAGAAAAATGTGAATTAGAAAACCCTAATCTGAAAAAAGAATTTTCCTCACTGGATCATCACAGCCTCAAACTCCGGCCTCCTCTGCAATCTCGGCTCCTCTCTGCAAACTCTCTTTTCTCTCTCTCTCTGTCCTCCTCAATCTCGGCCCTCTCTCTCTTTCCTCAAAACTCTTGGAGCTCGCTGTCTGCACTCAACTCTCTCTGTATCTCTAAATTTCTTTCATTATGTGTATCTCAATGAGTGAACAACACTCACTCATTAAATAGACAAATACACACAATATCAATACAGCTCACGCCTCCACATTTAGATGATAGAGACACAGTGCACACCATACAAAAGCCATCATCACAATTTCACTCTCTTACTTTCGGCAGACCTGCATGATTCATATCTTCTCAATTCCTTTACAAATAAAGCTACACCAGCCACATGCATGCACCAAAAAGTCTCGTTGGCCCTGCAAAAATCATATATCTTTCCTTCATTTCAATTTCGGTAGACAGGTGCATCTCCTTTAGCATCAGACATTATATATATATATATATATATATATAAAGCAAAAAAATCAAACTCATTTCAAATCCACGTGGGACCCGCACCAAAATTATCACCATTACCTCACTTTCTTATCTTTTCAATTACTTTCATTTCCTATTCAAGCATCAGGCCAAAGCCCACGTGAACAAAATTCTAAGCCAAAAGAATTTGTCACCATAATATCATCTAGTGGGTCCACAAAACCATTTCAAATTTCCTTTTCTTTTCCCCATTAATTTGGAAAAGCTGCTCATTCTACATCATTCTATTTCCTTCTCCACATTTCTATCACTTTCTCGTACAGGTACACTACATATATAAAATAACTACACCTCCACTAAAACAAACTCAAAAATAAAATTATAAATTAAAATATATAAAAAATCCGGGTTGTCACATTCTTCACCACTTAAAAAGAATTTCGTTCCTAAAATTCAAATCCAACAGTCTTCGTATACCCGAAACAACAATAACCACAAACCAAAACCCAAATCCTTACCCCAAGCGATGTAAGGTACCGTGATATGTAGGACGTTGTGGTAGCTTCCAATGCTAGTCACCCGCCCACACACTCTGTAACCGTTGTGATAGCTAGTCGATGCGTCACCCGCCCACTAAAAAAAACAATAACAAACCAAGGCTACCTGCCCAATCACACTAACAAACCATCCCAGTAACTGCCAATGAAGGCCATCCGCCCACACACACCCGGCTATGAGTGGTAGCTGACCAATACTACACACTCGCCCACTCACACCCGTCTACATCATCACTACACTCACACTTCCAGCTAGGTACAAGCCAAAAATTCTAATAAAATCCTCAATTAATACAAATCCAAATATATTAAAATACACCCATTATCATAAATAATAATAAAAAAAATGCCCTCTTTTATACAAAGTCAATTTCCTCAAATATATACAAAATTCTCCAAATAAATAAAATATATCCTGCAACGTCGACTCTTCCACCTAAGCCCAAAACTAGCAATCCAGGTTCATCTTCGGTACATGAAACTGGAGGGTGGTGCGACGAAAAGTCCCATTAGGAAAAATCATAACAAGAATTTCAATAATCAATGATCGTACCACAAACCCCTTTATCGGACACATGGTCCTATCTAACACACCTCGTCACACGAGACAAACCATCTGAACTTACACTGTCACACCAACACGACGCATAGTACCATGCTCTGGTTATCCCTGACAAAATGAAACAATCATTGACCTTAGACCCGACATTGTGCTAAAGAGGGACTGATTCAGAAGAAATGGTTGGCCAGGCCATTCTCATCATCGATCTAGTTTCAAGTACAGACGTCGTTCCTATCCTCAAAACCAAATCTCAGATACAGTCTCACACAGTCCACAAGACAACCATGAGATCCACTCACTATTAATCCATCGCTCTACGTAACCACAACGATTATATAGTCACATACCTACTATAAAAATCCCAATCATAACCTAATCATAACAAGATAAAAGCAACATAGCACCAAATACCACAATTATCGATCAGCCTAAAGGCTTTCCGGTCACCTTATAACTCCCACACCAAATAGACAACATCATAACATCATTCGATTCAATTCATGTCTCATTAAAATACTTCATAAAGTTATCTCACCCTGAAATCTCGAAACCAGAGTCAATTACTACGATTACTTGTCAAAGGAATCATACATTCACATTTCAAATCATAAAATCCTTAGATGATACCGACACTAGTCCTCAAAACACTACTCAAATCAAACGTCTATAAAAACACCCAAGTACATGACTCATATCACATTACCTAATCATCCTCGAACGTACAGTTCACGACGCATCCCCTGTCCCTCACCGCTAATACCAAGCACCGAAAACACACAATCCCTATTTGGTAGCTTTTGCCTCACACCACCGATCAAGACCACTTTAAAAACAAGCACCACCGAAACAAAAGAACCTACCTCCCTTTGTAGGAGTGAGTAGACCTAAACAACCAAACCTTTACCGGTGAACTCTAACAACATAACAAACTACACACAGGTCCGTCCACCCACGGACACGCACAACTCCTAAACCGAGATAAGACTCGCAACAAACGACACCCTTGCCAGGACTAGAACAAACGGAAAAGGTAACAAATTCCGCTCTCACAAGAGACTGACGACTTGCACCTAAATACACCCGACACCCTGTCACATGCTACTCACCAATCATCCAACCGTGGACACCCAATCTCACCTGAGATGAAATGAACTCCTTATGCACAAGGAGAAGAACAAACTGGAAACACATACGGGACTACGAACTCAATTCTAGGCGACCTCGCCTCTAAAGGACCATCATACACTATCAACACAGAAACCTCACATTTGATACCCCGCAACACCTATGCTAACCAAAACCACTCAGATAAGAGCACCCAAGCTCACGACACACTTACACTAGAAACAATTACAGCCCTTCAGACACCGTGTCCCGTTCTACCTGGAACCCGTCACTCCCAAATAACAAACCATATGCCATAAAATGACACTTCACCATCCATACTACCTCTACCTTCCCAAACGATACTGCCTCAATCACCATGCACACCAGTCCCGTGACCTCAGTCACAATAATCCACTAGCTCGTCAAAAGAAAAAGATGCCTATATTGCAACACCGCTCCCACTGGCTCTAAAGACTAAGTTATCCACCATCACCTCGACTGATGTACAATCCCCCACCACCTACCTGATAACACACAACAAACAACTCAAAATCTCTAATCCACCCTCGGATCATACCCTAAACCATTATGCTCATCAGTAATAAACATCACGCCATTACACCTTCACTGTCACTCATTCTAAACAACAGTTCAAACCTATCATCTCACCGAACCATTAAGCCACTACTAAACAATTCTTCTTCCAACATCCTTAAGACAATACCATCATAACCAAAAAATAAGCATTACTCTCGACACTCCCCACAACGACCACTATTTACCACTAGAAAAGAACATTCATACAACAATGCAATGCCGACAAATCCTCAAAACAAAAATGAGCACAAAAATCCAGAATGCTCAACAACTAACTATCTCCTTAAAACCATCAACGATGCAATCAATCACTAATGCTTAACCGGCTACTCAAACCACTCTTTCAAAGGCAATCTACATGCCTAACTAATAAAACTTCACGCCTTAGGTTCAACATCATTATTTCTACTTTGCACCGTTCCTCAGAACACCCTTTGCCCCGACAAAAGTCAAATTGAATACTAACTAAACCTATGGAATCACCCTCGTCCCAATCATTCTAATTGTCAGTCTACCTTTTCTGATCCTCAACACCAAGCACTATCTCCTGATACTGCAGACACAACTTAAATTATAACTCCAGCCCATAACTTTCAACTTCCAAAACATAGTCCATTTGGTAACACAATACTTACCATCAATCACTTCATCCACAAACGAACGAACACTTCAATGACCTCATTCAACCTGCCTTATAGTGCAATCCTGCTCTGCATGATTAAAACTAACCACTATACACCACCTCGAGACTCTTTAGACAGCCATACCAACCCAGAACCCCGCTCATCGACCGAGCCATGCAATCGACTCACCGAGAGTCGATTACTCGTAGCACACTCCTGTAGTTTCCCGAAATGGGAGTCACCTCTCAACCAACCGTAACCAACACACTCTCTTAGGCCATACCGGAACACCCGCAAATACATATCAACAACCCATAGACTACATTCGTGACTCAAACAACCTCTGTCACACCTACCACGATCGGTTCGAAAAGGACCTCGCACCAAACCGTAACCCAAGTCACAAACACTAACTTCCTAAAGTCATACCTTTCTCCCTCGAAACCCTTACCCGCACACCTGACCTCCACAGTCACAAGAACCCATCCACCGATACATGAAATTCACACTAAACAAAGACACCCTGCCATGAAATATGAACCCGTTCTAGAGTCATGCCCTAAGCACCACACAAAATGCAACAAGAAGATCAAGATGACTACACACTGAATAGCTCAATCCACGAGCTAGAAGTCCAAGCCACTAGTTCGATTAGAAAAGGCACCCAAACAACCTTGGAGCAACTAAGCTTCTCGCCTACTCGGGTTAAAACTTACATGACCAACTATACCGTGACAAGTACTCGACCGTACTAGCAACTATTTTATGCTTGACAGTATATATGCACATAAGTATATAGATATATATACATATTGACAAGAACATAAACCTTGACACGACCGTGTCCTATCACATCAGTTTAAACAATGAATCCATTAAATTATTATGTAAAATTAAATATGTCGTTCATCCTCATCGTCATGTCATATAATACACACTTGCACAACCTGTGCTCACAGCTTGCCATCTTATCACGGATAACTTGCTTTCAAATACTTTCACATTTCATTTTCATAGTTGGATCATATAAGTACTTCACGTGTATGACCATGTAACACGAATTTCAGCATTTAAACACGGAAGCACTTAGCAAATAGGTATGCCTCCAATACTGTAAACATATAAACAAGTAGTAGGTAAGCATGCTTCATAAAACGGTAAATACATAAACACAACCACGTAATCAACACAGGTCAACCTTCTACCCCTTTAGGGAAGCCACTACCCGTCGTCCTTAGGTTTTCAAACCTAAGGCTCTGATATCAAATTTGTAACGACCCGAACCCGATGGTCCGAATCGCAAATCGGGTCCTTACTTGAACCCAAGGTTAACTAAAAACGTTACCGTCCTTTCCTATGTCGATACATAATATACGTGTCATCCCAGGGTTTATACAAAACAAATGAAATCACAAATATAAAAGATGATAAAATAGTCCACTAACCCATTCAAACCTATGGAGGGAAGTCGTCTGCCACTTCCTTTCCGTGACCTAAAAAATATTAAAATAATAGGGTGAGCATAAGCTCAGTAGGAGGTGTCGAAGACACACCTCTTATGACCCCGTGAATCCATGCAAAGAATAGGCAAAAAGTAGACGGGATCATATCATAGGGAATGCACATCAACAACCACAACTAGAAGCTTATAAATAATTGTCACTGTAACACAAATACACCAAATATGCAAATAAAGTACAATGTCATGCCAATGTCATTCCCTATTTTTCAAAACAATTCATTTTCACCATTCCAAACCGTTAATGCAACCCGACCGATAGCACCTCTATGGCGTCACGAGGGAAGGATTGGCTAGCTTTCCCCGACCACATGGCACCTCCATAGCGTTGTCTGGGCCTAGGTAGCTCAACCACACTAGAGTCTCTCTCTATTTCCCTCTAAATCACATTAATACCACAGGTCACTAAACGCCTCCTAGGCATCCGGTTTTCACAAACACTTTCCAAAAACATTTTCCCAAAACAATTCCATTACCTTTTTAAAACAACTTTTTCCCCCATTCCATGCCCAATGAAAATACATAAATGCACCATGCCTCTTAAATATCATAATTCTTTATACATTTGAATTCTTAATCATAAACACAATTGGAAGAAAAATTATATAATACCCATATCGTGCTTCTTACTATATCTCCGGTAACTCAAATACATAAGGCATGGAATATAATCATATAACGCATGTTTTCTTATAAAATGTAACTAATACATAATCACATACCACATATACAACAAATAAATCATTTTTGCAAGGATCCACACGAATTAAGCATACTATACAACAATTCATGAAGAATAATTCACAAAAATCTAAGAAAAATGTGAATTAGAAACCCCTACTCTGAAAAAAGAATTTTCCTCACTGGATCATCAAAGCCTCAAGCTCCGGCCTCCTCTGCAAACCCTCGGCTTTCTCTCTGCAAACTCTCGGCTTTCTCTCTGTAAACTCTCGGCTCTCTCTCTGTCCTTCTCAATCTCGGCCCTCTCTCTCTCTTTCCTCAAAACTCTCAGAGCCCTCTGTCTGCACTCAACTCTCTCTGTATCTCTAAATTTCTTTCATTATGTGTATCTCAATGAATGAACAACACTCACACAATAAATAGGCAAATACACACAATATCAATACAGCTCACGCCTCCACATTTAGATGACACAGACACAATGCACACCATACAAAAGTCATCATCACAATTTCTCTCTCTTACTTTTGGTAGACCTACATGCTTCATATCTTCTCAATTCCTTTACAAATAAAGCTACACCAGCCACATGCATGCACCAAAAAGTCTCGTGGGCCCCGCAAAAATCATATTTCTTTCCTTCATTTCAATTTCGGTAGACAGGTGCATCTCCTTTAGCATCAGACATTATATATATATATATATATAAAGCAAAAAAATCAAACTCATTTCAAAGCCACGTGGGACCTGCACCAAAATCATCACCATCACCTCACTTTCTTATCTTTTTAATTACTTTCATTTACTATACAAACATTAGGCCAAAGCCCACGTGAACAAAATTATAAGCCAAAAGAATTTGACACCATAATATCATCTAGTGGGTCCACAAAACCATTTCAATTTTCCTTTTCTTTTCCCCACTAATTCGGTTAAGCTGCTCACTCTACATCATTCTATTTCCTTCTCCACATTTCTATCACTTTCTCCTACAGGTACACTATATATATATAAAATAACTACACCTCCACTAAAACAAACTCAAAAATAAAATTATAAATTAAAATCTAAAAAAAAATCTGGGTTGTCACACTCACTTATTATAAATTGTTAAATAGCAGCATTTTGTTGTAGTAAAAAATCATGCTATGCTTTGTCATTATAGGTATATTTTGTTGTAGTAACAAATGGTATGCAATAGGTGTGCAATTGAAATTATAAATAATGCTAGAGAAAAAACCAAGCGTCCACTGTTTGGTTTCTGAGAAAATATGGGAAAGAAAATAAAATACAGCAATTTTGGAAAACAAGCATTGATCTGTTTTAATTTGATCAAACCAGTAACACTAACAATATTAATAACTAACACAACATGGAAATAAAAAAGTGCATGATTTTACACCACAATCAAACACATCATGGAAACAAAAATCACATTCTATGTCAAAACCAAACAAATTTTAAAAAGAAAAAAGAAAGAAAAGTAGAGATATTTGTGTGTTTATGTATGTAAATTTGATTTAGAACTTGATAAAGGTATCATTATCACCAATATACCCTAATAATTCAGGCAGATGTGAAATTAATCCCGGCACAGTACAGAAAAATACACATTTTTTAGATAGAGGTTCATTCAATGATTTAATGAAAATAATTAATGCTAGCGAAAAAAGTAGTAAGAAAGTAGACAACAGACATTTAACACAAGCACAAAAAGTCTCAACAATAAACAAGATCGAATTCATTATAATTTTATAAATGTAAACGAGTTCTAAAACCATATTCAAACTTTTAGAAAGCTAGGGTTTCATACAATAATAACAGCAATCTCCAATTAAAGATGAATTCTGACAAAAATGAAGCGAATCTGATAGAATTTACCTGTGAGTGGACGAACATGAATATAATGCAGATCGTTGGCAATTTTGGAAGAATCAGACATCGATTTAGCTCCAGAATCAAATAAAACAGACCGATTAACGAACTCAGCTTGGTTTGGTTTCGATTTCTCTGTGAAATGTAAATGAAGCTGTTAAGGAGAGAGTTTTTCCTGCTTAGATCCTGTAAGAGAATGTCACTCCTAGGGCTCAGTTTTGATTTCTCTCCTAAATATAAATGAAGATTTAATTGAAAATCTTATCAAGGGAGAGAAGAAACTCTGCTCGTGAGAGAACCTCATTCCTAGGGTTTCAGTTTGATTTCGGTACCAAGGGAGTGAAATGAAAAGGTAAGAAGGGACTGAGTTTCACTTGCCCAAAAAAAATAGTGAGCGAAATGTAAAAGTAAAAAATAAAGAAAGAATGTGCACGACAATCACGTGCTCACTTATTAGAAATTGTTAAATAGCAGGCTAAACTTTTGTCATTATAGGTATATTTTGTTGTAGTAACAACTGGTGTGCAATTGGTGTGCAATTGAAATTATAAATAATGCCAGAGAAAAAACCAAGCGTCCATTGTTTGGATTCTGAGAAAATATGGGAAAGAAAATAAACTACAACAAATTTGGAAAATTAGCAACAATTGATTTGTTTTCATTTGATCAAACCAATAACATTAACAATATTAATTTCTTACACAACATGTAAACAAAAATCACATTCTATGTCAAAACCAAACAAATTTCAAAAAGAAAAAAGAAAGAAAAGTATAGATATTTGTGTATGTTTATATAGGTAAATTTGATTTAGAACTTGATAAAGGTATCATTATCACCAATGTAGCCTAATAAGTTAAACTGGTGTGAAATTAATCCCGGCACAATACAGAAAAATACACATTTTTCAGATATTTAATGAAAATAAATAATGCTAGAGAAAAAACTAGTAAGAAAGTAGACAACTGACATTTAACACAAGCACAAAGAGTCTCAGTAATAAATAAGATCGAATTCATCATAATTTTGCAAATGTAAACAAGTTCTAAAACCATATTCAAACTCTTAGAAAGCTAAGGTTTCATACAATAATAAAATCAATCGCCAATTAAAGATGAATTTCGTCAAAAATGAAGCGAATCTGATAGAATTTACCTGTGAGTGAACGAACATGAATATAATGCTGATCGTTGGCAATTTTGGACGAATCATACATCAATTTAGCTCCAAAATCAAATAGAGCAAACCGATTAACCAACTCAGCTTGGTTTGGTTTCGATTTCTCTGTGAAATGCAAATGAAGCTGTTGAGGAGAGAGTTTTTCTTGCTTATAGAATGTCACTCTTAGGGCTCAGATTTGATTTCTCTCCTAAATATAAATGAAGATTTCATTGAAAATCTTATCAAAGGAAAAAAGAAACTCTGCTCATTAGAGAATCTCATTCCTAGGGTTTCAGTTTGATTTTGGTACCGAGGGACTAAAATGAAAAGCTGAGAAGAGACCGAGTTTCACTTGCCAAAAAAAAATATTGAGCAAAATGAAAAAGTAGAAAATAAAAAAAGAATGTGCATGGCAATCCCGTGCTCACTTATTAGAAATTGTTAAATAGAATGCTGCTAAACTATTGTCATTATAGGTATATTTTGTTGCAGTAACAAATGGTGTCCAATTGGTTTGCAATTGAAATTATAAATAACGCTAAAAAAAAATAAATAAATAAATAAAAATAAAAGAACACACCAAGCGTCCACTGTTTGGTTTCTGAGAAAATATGGGAACGAAAATAAAATACAGCAAATTTGGAAAACAAACAGCAATTGATCTGCTTTCATTTGATCAAACCAATAACATTAACAATTTTAATATCTTACACAACATGGAAACAAAAAGGTGCATGATTTTACACCACAATCAAACACATCATGGAAACAAAAATCACATTCTATGTCAAACCAAACAAATTTCAAAAAGAAAAAAAGAAAGAAAAGTATAGATATTTGTGTGTGTTTATATATGTAAATTTGATTTAGAACTTGATAAAGGTATCATTATCACCAATGTAGTCTAATAATTCAAGCTGATGTGAAATTAATCCCAGCACAGTACAGAAGAATACACATTTTTCAGATCGAGGTACATTCAATGATTTAATGAAAATAAATAATGCTAGAGAAAAAACTAGTAAGAAAGTAGACAACTGACATTTAACACAAGTACAAAAATTCTAATCAATAAACAAGATTGAAATCATTATAATTTTGTACATGTAAACAAGTTCTAAAACCATATTCAAACTCTTTGAAAGCTAGGGTTTCATACAATAATAACATCAATCTCCAATTAAAGATGAATTCTAACAAAAATAAAGCGAATCTGATATAATTTACCTGTAAGTGGACGAACATGAATATAATGCTAATCGTCGGCAATTTTGGACGAATCACACATCGATTTAGCTCCAAAATCAAATAGAACAGACCAATTAACGAACTAAGCTTGGCTTGGTTTCGATTTCTCTGTGAAATGTAAATGAAGCTGTTGAGGAGAGAGTTTTTCCTGCTCAGATCGTGTGAGAGAATGTCACTCCTAGGGCTCAGTTTTGATTTCTCTCCTAAATGTAAATGAAAATTTAATTGAAAATCTTATCAAAGGAGAGAAGAAACTCTGCTCGTGAGAGAATCTCATTCCTAGGGTTTCAGTTTGATTTTGGTACCGAGGGAGTGAAATGAAAAGGTAAGAAAGGACCGAGTTTCACTTCCCCAAAAAAAATAGTGAAGAGCGAAATGTAAAAGTAAAAAATACAGAAAGAATGCACAAGGCAATCACGTGCTTATTTAATAGAAATTGTTAAATAGTAGCATTTTTTAATAATGTTGCTAAACTTTTGTCATTATAGGTATATTTTATTGTAGTAACAACTGGTGTGCAATTGAAATTATAAATAATGCTAGAGAAAAAACCGAGCGTCCACTGTTTGGTTTTTGAGAAAATATGGGAAAGAAAATAAAATATAGCAATTTTGTAAAATTAGCAGCAATTAATCTGTTTTCATTTGATAAAACCAATAAAATTAACAATATTAATATCTTAACAACATGTAAACAAAAAGGTGCATGATTTTACCCCACAATCAAACACATCATGGGAACAAAAATCACATTTTATGTCAAAACCAAACAAATTTCAAAAAGAAGAAAGAAAGAAAAGTAGAGATATTTGTGTGTGTTTATATATATGTAAATTTGATTTATAACTTGATGAAGGTATCATTATCACCAATGTAGCCTAATAATTCAAGCCGATCTGAAATTAATCCCGGCACAGTACAGAAAAATACACATTTTTTCAGATCGAGGTTCATTCAATGATTTAATGAAAATAAATAATGCTAGAGAAAATTTAGTAAGAAAGTAGACAACTGACATTTAACACAAACACAAAAAGTCTCAGCAATAATCAAGATCGAATTCATCATAATTTTGCAAATGTAAACAAGTTCTAAAACCATATTCAAACTCTTTAAAAGCTAAGGTTTCATACAATAATAACATCAATCTCCAATTAAAGATGAATTCTGACAAAAATGAAGCGACTCTGATAGAATTTACCTATGAGTGGACGAACATGAATGTAATGCTGATCGTTGGCAATTTTGGACGAATTAGACATCGATTTAGCTCCAAAATCAAATAGAACAGATCGATTAACAAATTCAACTTTGTTTGGTTTCGATTTCTCTTTGAAATGTAAATGAAGCTATTGAGGAGAGAGTTTTTCCTGCTCAGATCGTGAGAGAAAATGTCACTCCTAGGGCTCAATTTTGACTTCTCTTCTAAATGTAAATGAAGATTTAATTGAAAATCTTATCAAGGGAGAGAAGAAACTCTACTCGTGAGAGAATCTCATTCCTAGGGTTTCAGTTTGATTTTAGTACCTAGGGAGTGAAATGAAAAGGTGAGAAGAGACTGAGTCTCACTTGCCGAAAAAAAATAGTGAGGAGCGAAATGAAAAAGTAAAAAATAAAGAAAGAATGTGCACGGCAATCACGTGCTCACTTATTAGAAATTGTTAAATAGCAGCATTTTTTAAACTTTTGTCATTATAGGTATATTTTGTTGTAGTGACACCCCCCCACCCCACCCCACCCCACCAACTTACTATAGAGTGCTTTATAAATGTGCACGGCAATCATGTTGTAGAGTGCTTTATAAATGCATCTCAGACCTTCTTACTAATAAAATCAAATCCCTATTGCCTATGCTCATTACAAGGCACAAAATGCCTTTATCAAAGGAAAAAATCGGGGATATTATTATTTTGGCACAAGAACTCTTGAGAGGATATCACAGAGATCTTTGCTCTCCTAGATGTTCTCTCAAGGATGATTTGCATAAAGCTTATGATGGTATTGATTGGTTTTTTCTCCTTGATTTTCTTATGCTTATGAAGATTTCACATGTTTTCATCAATTGGATTAAGGTATGCATTTCCACTACCAGGTTTTCTGTGGCTGTAAATGGAGAACTGTGTGGTTATTTCAAGAGTGTTAAAGGATTGAGACAGGGGAACCCATATCCCCCTACCCATTTGTTATTGCCATAGAAATCTTTTCATCTATAACTAACCATTTTACTACATCCAACCCCTTATTTACACATCATTGGAGATTTAAAGCCCTAAACATCTCCCATTTATCATTTGCAGATGACGTTCTTATGTTCTGCTATGGGAACCTATCTTCGACCCAAATCCTCAAAGATGCCCGTGATACTGGTATGGTTTAGTAATGATATTCCTAAACATAGATTTTATTTTTGGATTACTATACAAGAGAAGCTACTCACACAAGACAAGCCAGCAAATCTATACACAATACAACCCAATGTGTGTGCTCTATGTCTAAATGTTACAGAATCATATGACCATATTTTCCACCAATGTGTATACTCAAAAGGTGTGTGGAATGGGATACAAAATAAGTGTGTGTTCTATACGAGTCCCAATTCATGGAATGACTTCCTTGTATGGGTATCATCAAATTTTTTTTCCTTAGTTGGTACTCACACACATATGTCTCCACTGAAGTTTGAACCCCTGACCTCCATTTGGGAAGTAGGGGCTTGTGGTCGCTGTTGGTGGTATCATCAAATTGGAAAAGTAAATTGAAGAAAAGTAGAATCCTAACCTGAAAGCTCACTTTGGTAAGCTATGTGTACCACATTTAGAGGAGAGAAATTACAGAATGTTTTAAAGTTAATCTTGTCTTCCTATCCAAACCTTGAATACCATTATTGAATCGGTGCGAACAGGGTTGTTCTCAATCAACATGGGCAAATGTTTCCTTGCAAGATCAATTGCCAGTGAATGGAACCTGTCGGATACCTTCTTTGATTCTAGCCAAACAAACCCATTCTTCACCTTTGTTTGACATACAGTTCTCATCCTTCATGGTGATCACCCTTGTAACAAACCCACCTCCGCTCCCTCCATGTTTGTTGATTTATGAGTGTTTGGTAGTTAACTGAATTTGGTTGGGCCATGAGCTTCTGTCATGGAGTTATTTGGTTTGGACTTTGTTTTTTAAATGTTTTTAGACCTAAATCATGGACTGCCCACCTATGATGAATGGTTTCTTTATGTTGGGCTTTGGGGGCATACCCTAAGTTTTTCTGTAATTATCTTTTCTTCTTTTATATATTTACTTACTTACCCAAAAAACAAAAAAAAAAAAAAAAAAAAAAAGAATCTAGAATGGTGAAAATGTCTTCTTGCTAATATATTTATGTGATGAATTAAATATTTTTTATTTAATTAACAATTATAAGTCACATCAAACACAAACTTCAATCAAATTGATAAATAAAGCAAGTAAATAAAAATTTGCAGTGTAGAGCAAAGCAATTCACTATTTTGCTTAAAATTTATCCTGACTTTGACCAAATCTTATACCTAGACTATTGTTGTCTACATCTGGTTGTTAACCATCTCAAGCTTACTCTCGGTGACCAACTGAAACACACATAAACCCAATTGTTGTAAACTTCAAACTAAGAAATCCCACAATCTTACAAATGAGCCGTTGAAGTCAAACATGTTCTGCGAAGAATCTTCCCTTATTTGTAGTATTAATTACACCCTCTTCAAAAAATTATTTGCACCTCAAAACACTCCAACCTTAAATTTGATACTTCAGCAACCACCAAATCTAAGACTTAGTCCAGCCAACCCTTTAGGATTGAAAGTAAACGAGTTCAACATTGAATCATGTTAAATTGATCCAAAACTATGGACGGGAATCGGGTTTCTCAGGCCCACCCAAGTCCACCCCTACTATTATTGCAACACTTGGGCAATTTCCAAGTTAACATGTGGAAGAGTTAGAGAGTGATAATTGGCCTTGAATATTGCTAAAAGTAGTGATACTTATATCGTTTTGTCACAATAAATTAATTAATCGAAAGTTTTTGATTCGTTATTTATGCACAATAGTACAATACAAGTAAGTTTTTGATTGATTATTTATGCATAATAGTACAATACAAGTAAGTGGAGGATCCCACTTCTTTATTTACTACGATGGACTAATTTAAAAAAATAAATTTGACATAACAAATCAGTACCAATATTATTGGGATAATTTCATTTACCTCCCTCGAGGTTAGGCCTAATTATAGGCACTACTCATAACGTTTTAATAATTACACCAACCTCCCTCAAAGTTAGCTCCGGAGTAACACTTTGCCCCTTCCGGTGACGGTCAACGCCTAATGTCAGCAATTTTTTAGCATGAAATACCAAATTTGCCCTTATTATAATTACAAAGACATTTTCACCCTTACTTTTGAATTGAAAATTACTCATATACCCTCAAAACAATCTCTGTATACATATCTGACATCTCACTCTAAAACCTATTTAGAAGTACGGCTATTTGTACATAATATATATATTGGTATACATATATATATATATATTGGTCTATATACATAGCTGCAAATCATCGCACCGCAGGAATCGAATAAGCATCTTGCCGCGGAATCGATGAAACATCTCGCCGCCGGAATCAACGGAGCATCTCACTGCTAGAATTTATGGAAACCCCTCACCGCCGACAGAGCAGCTTTCCTCCTCAGCTCCGCCATCCGCGACTGCACCCTAATCCAAAAACCCCCATAGATCGAGACCTATTTCTTCATCGATCTAAACTCTGCAATCAACCCAATCGACAACAACGTGGTCTTTTGCGAAAACATCATCCCTGCAACAACGACCGAGAAGAACTGAATGAGTACTAGAAGAGCAACTACTTCACCGTCGTCAAATCACCGTCGTTTCACAAGTCTCGCAGCTCTCAGTTGATCAGCGACTCAAACTGCTTCATCGGTCGAGCTCGCTACAATTTCTGAATTCGGATTTGCATTTCGCCGGTGAATATTGCAGCGATCACGTCCATGTCGGTGAAATCGAGGCCGCGAATGTTTATGTTCCGACCGGTGAACTTTAAGCCGGAGATGGTAGCTTCGCCCTGCCCTGCCCTACCTACACACGTATATATCTAAATATAAATGTACTGTATATACACAATTTTGACCCAGTTGAAACACTCTCTCTTTCAAAATTTCTTGGATCCACTAAGTTTTATTCTTCCTCAGTTTTCTTATTTTGGGTTGTCCGTCGGCTTCACTTGTGGATGGTAGTGTCCTGTTGGTCGTCGGAGAAGAAAAGTCCACCAGTGGTGATGATTAGAATGGCGGTGGTTATGGCCGCAGTGCCACCACATGTGATAACTGTGTATGTATACATGTTAGGAGGCGGTGGTGTGTATATGTAGTTGTGTATATTAAATATAACTTTATTTTTTGGCAATATAGTCATTTCATATAAAGATTCTATATTATATTATATTAATATAATATTAGAGGGTATTTTAGTTATTTAACATTAATTTCTACCGGAAACCAACATCGGCCACATTGTAGGGAGGTGAGTGATATTTTTAAAATGTTAGGGGTAGTATCTGTAATTAGGCCTAACCTCGAGGGAGGTAAGTAAAATTATCCCCAATATTATTTTTCTATTGCTAATATTTAATAGGCCAATTTGTTAGTAAAATTGAGTAAATGAATTTTGACTAATATTGGGCTCCTATTAAGATGGAAGTGGGAAATATTGTGGGCGAACCAATTGATTCCTAAAAGATTGAAAATGGGTCGGTGAATTACAAATCATGGGCTTCATGGTTATCCACATGGCATCTACAGAAGGGAAAATAAGTGTTGAAGCTTATTTGCAAGGAAGTGGGGCTTATAAGTTGTGGGTCATTAATAAGAAAATGAATAGTCAAACAAACACTTCCTCCACGATACCAACAAAACATTTCAATATAATTTACTTAAATTGTTATTTAACTTTGGGTTAAGGGTAAAAATTTCCTTGTTATATAAAAAATGTGTAAGAAATACCTTCTATTACGCAAAAAAAAAAAAAAAAAAAAAAAAAAAATGCATATAACTCTTTGCATTATTCATCTTTTGTATAATATGCCCCTATTGAATAGATTCGTTGAAAAAGAGCGGTTGCTGACGTCATTTTTTAAAAAAAAAAAAATCCAAAACTGCCTTTTTTGTGCGACAAGAATGTCCCTACTAATTTTGTAAATATTTGAACATTTTTTTTTCCTAGTTGGGACTCACACACACTACCTCCACTTAGGTTCGAACCTCTAACCTCCCTTTGGGAAGTAGGAGCCTTGTACCGCTAGGCCATAGGCCTGGTGGTTATTTGAACATTGAATAGGTTTGTTTGGATATACTGTCCAAGGAAAACTTTCTGTGTGTCGCCATAGTCTCTCTCTTTAATAAAAAATAAAAAATGTCTCTCTAAAATATCTCACCACGGATATTCTCTCTCTAATTTATTTGTTTTCTCTAAAATATCTTTTTGTGGCCACAGGTATTACCTCTCTTTCTAATTTTTTTTCTCTCTAAAATTTCTCTTTCGCTACTAATAGTATCTCCCCTCTAAATAATGATAGATGGACTATATTTTCTTGTAAATTAATGAGCCTCCCTTAATTATATATTGACATATATAATAATAATAATAATAATAATAATAAGGGTAATTTGCACTCACACCCCCTGAGGTTTGGGTCAACACTATTCAGCAACCGGTCAACGCACTAGTTTATATTGACACCCCCTTGAGGTTTCAAAATTGTTTATACGCATCCCCTCTACCTGAAAAAATAACTATTTTAACCTTTGACTTGGTCAACAAATACATAAAAAGTGTAAATTACTAATATAACCCTATAAACTAAATTTTGAAAGACCAAGATACCCTTCATTTTAGAGTATTCTAAAATACCAAACCCAGATCCCCACCCCTTCTCTCTCCACACCCGCCACTTCATTTCCTCAACCACATCCGTGGCCATCAAAGCACGCCGCGAGATCAGATCAGAGCCGTGGGAGGATTGAATGTCGTTCGATGACCGTCACGCCGCGAGATTAAATCAGAGCCGTTGAAGGATGAAATGCTCAGAGATCAGCGATGACGAACTCTCTGGTTTGAATCGGGCAAGTCCGGAGGCACGTTTGGTGTGACAGTGGTTGTGGTGCAGTGAGTCCGGAGGCGTGTTTGGTATGGCGGTAGTTGTGGTGCTATGTGCGATTGTGGCAGTTGCGGTGTGTATGTGTGTAAGGTGGTTGTAGTGTTTATATGTGTGTGGTGGTGGCGACGGCGTTTGTGGTGCTGTATGTGTGTATCAGTGGTTATGGTGCTATATTTGTGTCGGTAGTTGTGGTGCTGTGTGTGTGTGTGGCGGTGGTTGTGGTGCTCTGTGCATGCGTGTGTCTGTGTGGTGGTGGTATGTGTGTGTGTGGCGATAGCAGCGTTTGGGGTGCTATGTAGTGTGTCTGTGTGTGCATGGTACGACGAGTCTGGTGGAAATTGTAGCGCTCTATGTGTTTGTGGTGGTGGTTATGGTGCTAGTTATGGTGCGGTGATTATGGAGTTGTGTGTGTGTGTGGCGATGGTGGTTCTGGTATTGTGTGTGTGTGTGGCGGTGGCAGTGTGTATGTGTGTGTGGTGGTGGCGGCGTTTGTGCCAAGTGCGGTGTTGTGTGTGTGTGATGCTGTGTGTGATTGGCGGCTACTCTCTGGTTCGAATAATGGGTTATTTTTTGTCAATTACAGGCATAAGGGGATAAATATGACTTTTGAAACCTCAGGGGGTGTCAATGTAAATGATATGTGTTATTTTACCACTCACAATAATACAAATCGTTGTAGGATAGGGCTATATTGAGGTGTCGAACCTCAAGTAATATGATGGTTTTTATCGAGTCTAAAATTAATTTTTATTTTAATTTAAAAGGAAAGTTTGTTTGTTTGGTTGCAATTCAACAGTATAAACAAAAATTAAACAAAATAAATAAATTGAGATCAGAAAGAGAAGATCTTAGGGCTTGACTTCACCGCGAACCTCATACTATGGTCAATTGTCTCAACCTTGGGATTTCAATGTTTATGTATAACTCAGAATTAAAATCAGTAACATTCATTTCATTCAATTTAAAGAAAGATAAATCATGAATGTTTGTTAATAATAACCTATCTTCGGTTGGCAAGAATTATCTACTTACCTACTTCTAACTAATTTTGCAGAATAATCCATCTTTTCTAAGCATAGATCATGAAAACATTCATTCACAAAAACGGTTTACGCACCATTGCATGATCTCTATTCTTATTGTCATGAGAAGTCCTTAGCCGCCAATCTTAAACAATAAGAGTAGGTTGATTTTGATTAAAGAAGAATTAAATCTAAGACAAGGTATTAATTTATCAAAAACCAATTTATTCAATTAAAAACCCAATTGTTTAAAAGATCTAAGTCAATTGCTCAATAATCATGCAATCAATTGTACATTAATACTGAAAATCCCAAAGTTTAGAACAATCAAACCATAGTAATCGAATTCGAGTTACATAAATGCCTTTAGCTACTCATGACGATGAAGGATATCTCTTTGTTGGTGTAGAACTCATAATCATAAAATGCAACTCCTCTTCTATGGATCTTCTTCTTCAATTCTTCAGAAAGAACTCCAAAAACCCTAAAAGTCGTTATTAGATCTAGAATTATTGCAAAAGTTGTAGACTTGGAAGAGAAAAGAGAGAGAGAGATTTTTTATGGCCTTTCACCTTCTTTTATAGAAACATCTGACTTCTATCCCTTATTGGATAGGCTTTAGGTCTTCTGGGGCCATATAGGATTTAATGGGACATAATTAGAATTAATCTCACAATTTAGGTCTTATGGGGTCATTGTACAAAAAATTCTGTTTGGTTCAATTTTCTGAAAACTTGATTATAAAAAGGCTTATTTTCAGAAAACTATCTTTTATTTTTCTCTGAAAATTATTTTCTGCTTTCTAAATTCTTAAAAACTGTTTTTAAAGTTATAAATCAAGCATGCCCTTATCTGAAAACAAACCTTTTTATACAGAAAATTATTTTCAGAGTTACAAATCAAACAGGTTATCTTCAGATAATTATCGAAGATTTCTTTTGTAACAGTTTTTTTTCGAAATTTTTTATAATTATTTTTTGAGTTATAAACTAAAGAGTCTCAACTAATGAGATTGAGACTGTTTTCATTGATGAGATCGAGACTGTTTTTTGGTGCTTAAAAAAAATAAAGAGTTAATTACAACGATACCCCCTGAGGTTTGATATATTGACAGTCATATATAACTTAGCTATTTTTTTAACAAAGACACCTCCTGTGATAATTTTGATCCAAATAAGCCCCTAAAAAGTTAGAAAAGACAAAATTGCCCTTCAATATATAATTCATTTTATTGTAAAATATTAGAACTCATGAAAAGTCAAATTTGCCCTTATATATATACCTTATATACATTATTGCCCATATATTTGTATATATATATATATGTATGGAAGAGCAGTAGGGAAGACAGAGCTCTAGCCGCCGCCACCCTCATCGACGCCGCCCCCACTACGCTGCCACACCCAATTCCCCAACCATCGCCATAGCCCACCCCTTCTCCTCTCAACATCCACCCCAAATCGCCGTCGTCGACTGCATAACCACTGCCTCCGTCCTCCTCCTTCTTGTTGTCACCAGCCGATTGCGAATTTTGGGACTCTCAACTATCAAAAATTTTGGGTAGGTATTGGTGGGCCAAATTATGGTGATGGTAGTGGTGGTGATTGTGGAGTAATCGAGCAAATACTATGGAATTGAAAACGTCGACATCCAACAACCCATCTCTTAGCGTCGGTTGCCAATTCTTGAGTTTTCGGCCCCAACCCACTGCAGGAAAAGGTCTCATGCACCCCACGCACCGTCAATGCGTGTGAGGTTGCACCCACCTGTGCACCTTCATCTTCTTCCCCAAAAAAGCCAGATTAAAGAAAACCCAGTAAGTAACTAATTCATTCTTAAACTCCAAATTAAAGAAAATCCAGTAAGTATGTTGCAATGTTCCAAATTTTCCAGGAAAATAGAGAGCAGAAAACGAAAGAAAATTGAAAATGGCTAGACAAATTTTGGGAAGAGAATAGATTGGTTTGTGTATATGAATGTGTTTAGAATTAAAATTAACTGATTTTATAAAGTTATTGGAGGTTGTTGAAAAAGAAAAACTGATATCCACGTTGCTAGTGATAATAGTGAAGGTGGGTTTGTGTTTGTGAGGTTTCTGACATTAATGGGTTTGGGTTGGGGTTGGGCTTGGTAATTCCAAATAAATAAATAGACGAGGAGAATGAGTTTCGACCAAGATGTGAAGAAGATGTGAAAAGGTTTCTACTTTCATCTTCAATCGAAGTGGGTTGTATTATTTGGGTTGATTTTTCAATATTTATTTGTTGCAACTTAAAATGTTCAGTTTCTGTTTTTGTGAGTTTTGTTTTTGAAAGTTAGTGTCTGAGAATTCCAACTTGTAAGTAGTAACAAAGAAAAATGAGGATAGAAAGGCTAAGTGGGAAGTAACTCTTTGTGATTTTAGAGAGAGATGCAAGCAACTGGTAGGTGGTGTTAGGTAGACACAAAAAATGCGAAAAACTTTACAAAAGAAGTCAAGCTTTACAAAAAATGGTCTTGGTTGCAGATGAAGGCAATCTATAGAGATTATGGGCAGTGGTGGCGACTGTTGGGTTGTGGTTGCGGTGGTGGTTATGGTAGGGTATTTTGGTTAATAAAAAAATAATTGTATTGGATAAATGGGTAATTGACTGTGTTAAAAGACAATAATGTCAATTCACTGTGTGTCATGACCATTAGGGTGTCATTGTTAACTTTATCAAACTTAAGAGATGTTATCGTTCAAAAATAACCCAACTTATATATAACTGATATTATGTCAAACTCAAGGAGTGTTGTTGTAATTAATCTAAAAATAAAATAAAATAAAAACAACAACCTGAGATTGAGAATGATATAGCCCCTTGCACAGACCTTTATCTTTATGTCACGGGCTAAAGCCATCTCACCGAATCACCTTCTTATCTCCGTACTCTCTCTCTCTCTCTCTCTGACTCAAACCATCTCACCTCCTTATCTCCATTCTCTCTCCTTTTATCTTCATTTTTTGGTTCTCTCTGTGTTTGAAAATGGCTTCTAAAAAGAAAAAAAAAGGCTCCTATGGCATCACCCATTTCATTCTAGCCCTTTTCTTCTTATCTCTCTCTTCAACATTTCATTTGCTGCAAAACAGCTGGATGAGTTGGTCCAAGATCAGACTATGTTCTTGCAATACCATAACGGTAAGCATATCTTCTCTGTCTATGAGTATCAATGAGCACACACACATAATATCACACACAAATATCAGTGAGTACACGCACAAGTTTGATTTTACTGAACCAGAAGTAATTGATGTCTACTTTTTGCTTAATTTCCCTCTCTTGGGGTCAGTTGTGGGAAGGGTTTTTTTCTTTCTTTCTTTCTTTTTCACAGAAACCAAATGGAGCTTGATTATCATAAAATTAGGGCAAGAGATTGAACGTGGAAGAGAGAGAGATTGTGAGTGATTTTTTTTTCTAGGGTTTCTGAAAATTTTCTTAGATATAAAGATGGAAGGGTAAATTTGTGATTTTGGGTATAGCTTTTCTCACTGTTCCATACTTCAATGTAAATTTTGAAAAGCTATCAAATTTCTCTAGATGAAGGGTAGTAGATATAAAAGATTGAAAGGGTAAACTTTTTGCTCTCACAAAGCTTGAAATTTCTCTCGATGAAGGGTACTATATATAATGTATAATCCTGTTGGAGAGAGCTAATTCCTTCCTGATTTTCTCTCTCTTTTAAGAGTTGTTTTATTCCGAAATTAAAACAATTGTATATATATGTATGAGTAATTACAAAGCGTTAATTTTATATATGTATGAGTAATTACAAAGGGTTTGATCCAGAGTATGAAATCAAGCCATTGGGCATTCAAAAAGATGGTTGAAAATAATTAAGCTGGTCTGTGATAAACATAGTTTTGCTAATTGAATTATTTCCTTAATATTCACAGTAGAATAATGGTGTGATCCATTAGAGCCTTCAGCATCTGTTTGTTTTCTCAAAATAATAGAATCAAAATAAATTAATCTTCACAAGGGGATGATCCAGAGTATGAAATCAAGCCATTGGGCATTCAAAAGATCCTTCAAAGCCGTTATCTAGCTTTCATAAAAGCTTCAAGTAAGCAAATATGCTGGTCTGCCATAAACATAGTTTAGCAAATTGAATAGTTTCCTTAATCTTAACAGTAGAATAATCGTTGAGATCGATCATTGGAGCCTTAAGCATCTGTTTGGTTTCGCAATGAAAATGAGGGAAACGTGAGGAAAATGTTACTTAAAAGTAAAATGGTTTTTTCATCTCACTCAAATTTTCTTGAAAACCCAAACAATTTTAAGGATTATCATTTATTCTTCAATGTAGAAGAAATGAAGATGAAGTACTTTTCTATTTGAAAACAATGGAGCATTGGGATGTTTGATATATTTGGTTAAAAGTGATTTAATTAATGATGCTGAACGTTTTTCATTATGCAGGGAAACAATTCAATATCTGTGAAGAGGCACGTCACTGGTGAATTTGGGAAGAAATATGTACATGCGGATTTTGATGATTGTTGCCTCTTTGTTATGGTCCTGCTGTTACTTGCCTCTTTGTTATGGGTGGTTCAGGAAAGACTACTCACTTCGATGATCCTTCTTGGCTTGTATATTTCAGCAACTCCAGAAGGAAGTGTTGAGAGGAATCCTAGTTAAAGTTAAAACTAGCCCTCGGTGGATATAATGGATTCCTAAAATGTGAGATGATGAGCTAGTGAGGCTACTCCATGACATAACAAAAAATGCTTGATAATTCGCGATGATATTTGCACAACAGAGGACTGGGACATACGTCTCAATTGGAAAGAGGAGTAGGAGCAAAGTATTACAACCACTATTTTTGACAGAGGCTGAAGCTTGAGAACTACTTCAAAACAAATGGTGGTTGATGGATTAGTAATTCATGTGGATTCACATGTAAACCCATTTGTTTGTTCCATGTCTTTAAGTAAAACTTTGCTGCGACTTGTCTTTCCAATTGAAAATGCAGATTACAGGATGTCCTAATCCTCTGTTGTCCAAATGTCATCAAGAACTATCAAGCATTTTTTTGTTATGTTGGACTTAATGGAGTAACCTAACTAGCTCATCGTCTCCCATATTGCGAATCCTCTTGATGTTTGTTTGTCTTGGATTTTCTGCTGTTCCAACATCCACAACATATATTGTTACTATTAGTTAATTTACTTAATTAATAGTAGACAAACATATTTGTTTATTTACTATTAACCTTTCACAAAATTAAAGTTGAAGTTATTAGTTCAATCCATCACTCACAAAGCCAAATCCTACTAATTCATAAGTTGATGCTGTTGGGAAACGTGAAAGTTTTAAAAACTTTTTGAGAGTTTTTTAAACAAAGATCTTGATTTATCGTATAGAGATAAATTTTATACAAAAATAAAATATGATGATACATTTAATTTAGGGATAAAAAATTTACATCAAGGTTTAAATAAACCTTATATCTCTCTTTTAAAGTGAATGTTCTCACTTATTCTAGATTCCTTTGTTAGATATTTTTTTTTTCAATTTTCATCTTCTCGGTAATGGTTTTGCCTTTAAGAATCACTCATAAGTCTTCATGAATGACCTTGGAAAATTAGGCTTGTGGGAGCCTCCATTAGATGAGAACACTAACCTTGAAATTCTAAAGAAATTCTAAAGAGAGAAAATATTCATTTTTCTTTCAAAAGTCACATCTAAAATATATATGGACTATGTATAAGTTAAGGAAAGGAAACGATAAATCCTTCTCAATCTCTAATTCACATATTTCAAATCTAATACGATTCTAATATCAAGTTGGGCTATGAGTGAGAATTCTTTGAGCTTATTATTTTTTTGGCTACAATGAATTAATAATTGGCCCGATCTATGAACCCAATTTAATTAATTTCTAATCCACTAAAAGAAATTAATTGAACTCCAATTAAATAATAAATAACCTCTAAATTAATATTGCATTTTGATATCCTCTATACATAATTAGTTATCGGGTAAATAAAGACATCAATCCGACTATTTAATTAATATATTTATTTTGGTACCTTTGATTATTTCCGCTTTGATCACAATAAAATATTTGTTTGACAAAAATAATAATTTAAATAAATAAATATATAATAAATTATTTTGTCTAAAAGCATACGAAAGCCTTCAAATTTACTTTGTGATCAACCATAATCAATACAAAAAAAATACAAGTAGCAATTATGCAAATATTGAAAATATAACCTGCTAACTATTAATTACATAATTACCCAAAGTGTTGATCTAAGAATTCCGAAAATTCCGCCAAACAAATCAAAGTAATTATTAAGTAATAAAAGGGTCTATACTTTTCTTATACTTAAGAGTCAAATGTTATGACGGTGATAGAGAGTAATTGCATACGACGGCTCTCGCAATATATCTCAACTTAACACGGATCCAGTTCAAATCTTAGTTAATAATGAGTCTATCCATAATTACCGATTATGAACAATTTATGATTACTATTTATATTCATGTATTGATCGTCATCACATACATGTATAAATATCTCTTATAATCAAATGGACAATATCAATTCCATAATGAATCGAAATATAATACATTGAATTCACCAATTGTATAAATCATAAATATTTCAGATATGTCATGAACATATGTCACTATAATCCAAATAGGAATTTACTATACCAGGGCATATAAATTTTAACAGTCCAAATAAAAATTTGTTATGCCAGGGCATATAAATTCCAACAGGTGCTGTGATTATAAGTTGGTCCCAGCATTGTTTGACAGTAGCTTTTGCATAAGGGGCTTGAAGAAATGCCGTTGAGATTCTGCCACTCTTGAGAGCGTCCACGTACTCATCAGATTGGGTGGCAATAATGTCGACCCTGATGTTATCTTTTTTGAAATGAAGCACATTCATCAAGTACTCCCTTATAATGTCATTGCCAAAACATCCAACTATGGCATTGCTCTTCTTGAGTGAGTTAACATTGGGGAATGGTTGGACACTGAGAATAGAAGTGAGATTGGCAGCGTAACCTTGTACCATGAAGAAAACCACGCAAAACCACAACACCACCACCACTCGAGTATAGTTCCGTACTTCCGTTTACTCCTTTCCCCTGTAATTTTAGAAATTCACATGCTTAAACATAGTGATAACATCTTCAATAAATTGTTTTGTGCACTTCTCAGTGTATATATATATATATATATCCCGATACGTACCTTGGGCTAAGAATAGTGAACAAAAGGTCAACCAAAGAATATTGCCGAGTTGATCCCTAGGAAATTGGGGATTGGTGCGGTGCTCCATGAGCCAAACTATAAAGATGGTGTACATCAAAATGACCAAATTGGCTAACCACACTTCCTTGGTTAATGGGGTCAAAAATATCAATCCATTGGGAGCTTGGAGATTCATTGGAATCACCATGGACGAGTGAATATTGGGTACCCCAAGGTTACCCTGTCAGCATGCCAACATGCTATCCCCATCCAATAAAAGCATGACACTTTTCCAACTTTCCATGTCAGCTCTTAACGGAGAAAAAGTTAACTCCGTCTATTTTCTTTTGTTAAAAAAAAAAAAAAAAACTTATTTCAAATTTCAAATTTCAAAATAAACATTGAAATCCATTCCACTTTCTCTCTCTCCTCGTTGCCCTAACTAGATCAAAACGTGTTTGCTCGAATCTACAATCGAGACCCTAGCGACGGCTGTGATGTATTCTCTTTGACCTCCGGCGTCGAGCTCGACGAGCACCGGGATGATCCCCTGCGCCATCGCAATCAACACATTCTTGTCGTCCTCCTGAATCAACCCCAGCAGTGAGTCCAACGCCGAGTTCTTCGACTCGGTGCTCCCAATCTGCAATCGAGTTATCAAGTTCCGAGCCTCGACTCGTACGGACTCCTTCTTCGACGTCGACGACGACCTCAGAACGACTCCCAATCTGCAACCGAGTTATCAAGTTCTGAGCCTCGACTCGATCGGACTCCCTCTTCGACGACCTCAGAACGGCGTCGTCGTGTAGCACCCCGCTCTTGATCAAAACACCGGAGTCTCTGATCTGCCGGTCCAGCTTCACGGAGACCGAATCGACGTCGTTCTGCGTCTTGAGCTTGCCGCCGAGGAGGGTCTAATTTCGACAGGCTTTAGAGAGGGAAAGTGCGTCGGAGAGAGTATCGGAGACAGAATGGAACAGTTTTAGAGAGAGAGAGTTGGGAGGTGAGTCGGCGAGGTCGGCGAGTTGAGTCTTGAGATCGGCGAGTTTGGTTTTGATCAGAGACCACTTGCCTCTGAAGTTCTGTGTGTTGTATCGAGTCCAGTAATGATTGAAAAAGCTGATTTTAAAGGTCAATGTGTTCGTTTTCTGGTTCTTTCATGGCGGATTACGGTCTAAGAATATTGGGATTTCAACAGATATGTAAAATTGCAGCAGGACCTTCTGTTACCATCTCGCGTGTTTAATTGCAGGATCTGATGATTAGTCCTACACAAATATTTTTTTCTTCCAGATAGCGTTCATATTTATTCTTTTTTTTTTTTTTTTTTTTTTTTTTTTCTTTCTTTCCCTTTTTTAACTTTAATTTACGAACATTTTTTTTTTTAATTTCTGAAAATTACTATATATTAACATAATTGATCACTGAAAACATAAGTAAATGCATGTCAGTATTCACATAATTGAGGTTTGCCCACAGTTCATGCGTTTTATTGGTGGGCTTTAGGAAATTTGGATATCATGGGTATTAGCAGCAAGATGGTTTTCTAATGTATAGTCAAGAGGTTGATTGTTTAGTATGATTCTTTGCTGCTGCAGTCGCGTTCTTGCTTGGATAGTATGATTGAGACTATATTTGGTATGCTTATAGGAGAATGGGTCTGTGCCTATCGGTGTTTATATTTTTGCTTGGATAGTATGGTCGTTCTTGGCTTTGGTTCAATGCCAATCTGTTGCGGATTTGCTGCACTCTTTTTCTGTGGTTCATGTTGCCTTGTGCGCTCTCTGAATCTCTATGTGGCTGTGATTTTGCTTTTGATGGAGATGGGCATTTGGTTTGCTTTTGGAGAATGGGTTCTTTGCCCATCTGTTGTTGCTTCATTTTTGGGGTCTATCTGCCTTGTGAATGCATTGCTTGTGTGGGGTGGTGTCTTGTGATAGCTGGGGGTTTTTGAATTGGTTCAATCTCTTTGGGAAGCTTGGATTTATTGTGGAATGTGAAGTTTTTTTTTTTTTTTTTCCCTGCACTCTGTGTTTGTGCCTTGTGTAGGCTGTGTTTTACTGCTTTATGAATGTATTCTAAAGGTTCTCATAGTGTGTTGTGTTTTGGCAAAGGTATCCTTATTGTTGGTTTCTTTCTTTGCCTTCTATGTTTCTCAGGCGAGGGTATGCCCTCGGATCTTCCCTGTATTATATTATTTCATTTTATATGAGGCTAATCTTGTTTGATTTTCTTAAAATTGTTAACCCTGATGTTATACTTAAAATAGTTGGATTTTTTATAAACACAACTAAATTTTGTTGTGATTTAAGTTCTGCAAAACCATGGTGTGTCCCAGATCCTCAATGATTGATATTAATAGAGCATGAGACATTACATTTCTATACTTAACAACACTGTTTACACTAAAAATTTAAGTCCTGCAATTGTAATTAACAACCTATTAACAACCTCCTATTACAAAAATCATTTCCTCAACAAAAATTAAACAGTGTTATAGAACTATTTAAGAACCTATAGAATACATCCCTAAAGCAGTAAAACACAGCCTACACAAGGCACAAACACAGAGTGCAGAAAACAGAAGAAAAAAAAAAATACTGCATATCCCACAATAAATCCAAGCTTCTCAAAGAGATTGAACCAATTCAAAAACCCCCAGCTCTCACAAGACACCACCCAACACTAGCAAAGTGAAGCAACAACAGAAGAAGAGTGCAACAAATCTGCAACAGAAGTCCTGGTGTTGTACTTAAAATTGTTGGATTTTTTATAAACACAACTAAATTTTGTTGTGATTTAAGTTCTGCAAAACCATGGTGTGTCCCAAATCCTCAATGATTGATATCAACAGAGCATGAAAACTTAAAAGACATTACATTCCTATACTTAACACTGTTTACACTGAAATTTTAAGTCCTGCTATTATAATTAACAACATGTTTATACTGGAAACAACTTGCTATTACAAAAATCCTCTTCTCAACAACAAA